TCCATCCCAAAACATTTTTTAGCTGGAATCGAAACTGCTGTCTCCGGCTTGGTAAGCTACGCGTAGGCTATCTGGAGGACCTGGAGGTTCATACACAAAGGGATGTTAACAGCTTAATTCATGAAGCTAAGACATGCCACCAATCGCCATTTGAAAACTTTTGGTAGATAATCCAAATAACAAACGGAATTTCCTGGGTAAATCGAAGCTTCGTACATTAATATGACACTAAATAATATTTGAACCTTGACAAGAAAAGACCACCTTGTCATTCTGCTGGCAAATGAGATAGTTACCATGCGGTTTTTTACCCCGTCAACAGACGACAGTCAAATGCATAAAGCGACGCGGTCAGATTTCTTTTGGTTGGTTTAAGCCATGCTGGGGGTACACAGCCAAACATTACGCTTAACTTTTTATGAATTATCGTGTAAAATTACGCCAAATCTAGCGTAAACGTTTGCGCTATATATCGCAGAAATTTATATGAATTTTTCAATACATTAATAACGGTGAAAATGCTGCTAAACAGTTCCAAGATGAGGGAAGGTATAAGCTTCAAAAGGAACGCACAGTATGGAAAATTCATGTAAATTTCTACGTTATTAACGCTAGATTTGGCGTAATTTTACACGATATTTCATGTAAATATAAGCGCAATATCGCATAAATCTACAATATTGCATACAAGCTTGAAAGCCATTTCGATCTTCTTTCCTTTATTTAACGTCGGTCTCTGTTCCGCAATCTAGTGCCAATCACCGACAGACATCGATTGCCATCCATTGACGGAAATCGAATGTGCAGGAAGGCAGCTTCCACACCTGCATAGGATTTCGCACCCATCCAACACACATGGGCCGATACCAACGGCTTTACTTTCCTTCCGAAGGAAGACGTAACCAGAGATCTTTATGCGAAAGCAGTCACGATTACGGTTACACCACCGACGGCGCCGGCTACAATTTTGATGTTTATGCCAACTATAGCTCAACATTAAGCGAGAGGAGATTTTATGTGACAGTTAAAATTCATATTTCTTTCTGTGCGTAATAAAAAGACTAGACATCGTCCAAAGAACTTTGATCATCTTTCGTTATCTAAACCATGGCTTAACTCTGAATTGAACCTAAGCTGGCATCAATAATAAAAAAACGAAGTAGTAAATTAACTAAAAAATCATTGAAGCAAGATTTATTTGCCATTGTACAGCAATGATTTACGACTTCACAAGCTGGATTCAACCGGGTTTTGTTGTGTTACTCAAAGCTAAAGACCATATATTGCATTTCATTGCCCAATACTCATAAACACATCTTATCAGGGTGCTTCCAATCAACGCAGGTCAGTCATCACCATATCAAAACTGTTTTGGTGGAAAATTTCGTACTCACTTCATTCGAGGATCTTCGAAATGCTGAAATCACTTAACGTTTCAATGATATAAGATAATCAAATTGCGGAAATTCGCACGCATAAACGACGACCACGAACCGACGGGTAATCGTAATCGAGCATAAAAAAAAACGGAACGATCGCCACCAGAAAGTGCGGGTGAATCAGCTTGTGAGCATTCGTACATATGTAACATCATCGCACACCACCCAGCTCGCAGCAGACTTCTTCTTTGACGTCACCTATACCTACGGATACGACTCGGGCCAGCAGAGTAAGCACATGGTATGGTGGTATCAGGCTATGATTTGCTATGCGAGCGATGATAGTTTCGTACATCCAGGGCAAAGCCGAAGTGTTGTAACTCACAATACCATGTGCTTTGTTGAGAGCATCCGGGGAGAATTTCGCGAGGTGTGAGAGTGCGGTTAGGGTTATCAACCGGCAATGAGCAACCGGAGGGACTCAATATGAAGCAAACGATAGCAACGCGAAGATCGTTCAATACTCTGGGAAAATTGGGCTGTTATGTGCCAAAATTTACAATGACACTAATAGCGATATCAGTTTGATGTTTTCAGCTAAAGTGTTCACTTAGGAAACTCTAAGGAGGCTAGAATATACAAAGAGACGCCATGTGACGCCTACCTAAGTTATATGTGAGTTCATGTTTAATGTCGTTTAATCTTATGAAATTATTAAATGAATGAATAAAACTGTCTTGTCCAAAATATGAATAACATTTTTTCAAAGTGGAAAAGTGTGATTCATATTTCGGGCACTTTATTTTTTAAGAATGTTGGAAGCGCGTAAACATTTTCGCCAGTAATGTCATCATTCTGTGATACCTATTAAAAATGGTTGTAAAACCGCGGGTTGACTAAAGGAACAAGGGTGATATTTTTAATGTTAAGGTCTATAGGTATTACAAGATATAATTATAAAGTGTCCGAAATATGAAGGTGCCCGAGATATGAATCAGAACGGTATTCTATGATTTTCAGTAAATCTTATCTTTAAACATAAAATTCCATCGTAACGACATTTAAACTGAACAGATTTTTCAAAAATCTTGGTAAGAATTTGCTTTTTAATTCAAGTTTATGCTCGCCAAGTCTAATAAAAAACAGTGCAAGCGATCGTAGTAAAATACAAGAACTGCTTCAAAAAAGCAAAATTGATCTAGATCAAAATAGTTTAGCCAGTGTCGTTTTTTCATATTTGATTGAAGGAATTTCGAAGAAAGTATGCATAATTATTTTAAGGACCAAAGTCATAATTCGGGCTATGTAGGTTAAGAACCTTAGAAGACTATTCACTTAACCCATAAAGTACCATGACGAGATTGTTTGTTTTCAAAATGCTCATTCTCAACAATGTTACAACCAATTTTCATAAACCTGTACTTTTATTTAAGTGGAATAGTGGATCTAACTGTTCACGTACCGTACCGTTTTCGAGTTCTTTTTTATTTTTTTCAAAGCTGGGATGTTTCTCAGAGTCTTAAACTATGTTAATCATCGATCGAGTTTCCACTTGCTGCAATTACGGCCTCCACACGCTTCCGGAATGCACGGCAGGTTCTAATAATGTAGTCTGCATTTCTTGCTGTACTCGGCCGGCGTTTAGAACAGGCTCTGGCCTTCATGACGCGCCATATTGAGTAATCCAGCGGATTAAGATCGGGGCTGGATGGCGGCAACATATCCTTCGCCCAGAACGGAAGATGTTCCTGCAACCACTTCTGAGTGCGGTTCGAGGTGTGGCACGGAGCCCCATCTTGTTGAAATATAACATTTGGCTTTGGACCGTACTGTTCTTTGATCCACGCAAGAACATACTTACTTAAAATCCCGATGTAGAACTTGTCGCCTTCTGGAATTAACACCGGGTCCATTTTTTTGCCTTAGGAAGCCACCAATCCAAACACCATAACGCTAGCAGGATGCTTGGTCAGATACACGTTCTAGTGCTCGTCGGCCACGTCTTTTACCGGAAGAGAACTAATATACCGGTCGGTTCTGGAATTTGATACGGGATCGACGGTAAACATGATCTCGTCGGTGAACAGGATTGCCGGATTTTTTCGCTTAAGGAAGTTCAAGATTTTCTTGCATCGTTCGACTCGTAGCTCCCGAATGCGGTTGGTAATCATGTGAGTTTTTTTTTCCGTGCCCTCGACTTCGCCCCGCAATCTTCCTTTACGGTCTTCCGTGCCGTAAAAACACTGATTCCTTGTTCCTTTGTCATTTTAATTATTGAACGCACTGGATTCACCCGAATCTTCCTTTTGATAGCAGCGATAACCCTCGGAACCCGAGCTGACCTCGGACGACCTGTGGCCACCTTCGCGGATAGTTGTCCTTTGTTTTCTCGGTCTAAAACCCTTTTTGACGGTCCACCGGGACACTCCCACGGCGATTGAAATGTCTTTTTGCGACATTTGCGCGTGGGACAAATCACGAATACGCTGCCACTTCGTCGTGGTGCAAATGTCAAACTAAGTAAATCATTTCCTTTTATACACAGCCTACTACGGTATGAACTATAGGTTACGTGCATTCAAAGAAAACCAAGGCTTGTATGCACAGGTGAAATGGGAACCTTATTTGTACGATGGAGCATACATTATCACACTTACGGTTTTTTACTATTTATGGTCTGAGTCCTGGAATTCGGTTCCGTGAATTCCAAGATAGAGTTTGTTATAATATTATCAAGATCTAAGTAGCCATTTCAAGTGCATGTCAAATCATGTCAAATCATGACATACTGACAATGGGGTTTTTTTGAAATCAGTTTATGGTATATCCGATGACATCTGGCACATTGACATCGGTTCTGGGAGTCCCGGAATCCGGTTCTATAGGCCATCGTAATATTCGAGGGAAATGAATCATGCTGCATGCCAAATCATATCAATATAATAAGGGAGGTTCAAACGCAGCCGATCATAATAAAATACAAAAAACTGCGCTAGAAAAGCTATGTTGATAAAGATCAAAATAGTTTCACCAATGTTAGCCATTGTTTCATAATGGATTGAAGGAATTTCGAAAGAAAGTATGCATAATTATTTCAAGGACCAAACCCATAATTCGAGATAAGTTGGTTAAGAACATTAGACGACTATACACTTTATAATGGTTTCATGAATTTGTTTTACTTAATTAACTGTCGTCAATACAGCCGTGTATGATCAAAATGTGCTGCACTGAAAGATGCTGTTTTCAAAACCTTTAACCTTAATTTTGCCGTCATTAGCCCAAAATTTTACCCGGCTCACACAAATGCAATCGACCCTTGCATCAACGCTACAGACGATGCAGGCTAACCGCCGACCGCCCTACTTCACATGGAGAAAATCAAGTTCAATACCACTCGCTGATCACCGCTCAACTGAGTGTCTGAGTACCATGATCACTCAATACTTTCCGATCATCATCGCCACAAGTTTGCGCTCTCTGAGTGCCCCGCTGTCGTACTCGAGGATCACCGACCGATGCGCGCCGCGCGTGTACACCAAGAGACCTCAACCTTCTCAGTTCAGTCAGTTAGCGCTGCTACGAAGACGCATCGGGGTGTGTATGTGTAATTCTGTGACGGTTTCCAGAGGTTTTGTTTTTTGTGTGTTGCTGTCGCGCAAAGTTCGACAAGGATTACCCGATACTCCCCGGTGTGTTCCGGTCGGTTCCCTAGATACAACCTTTTGATCGTGCGGTTGTTGAATGTCCGGTTTTCGGTTGGTCACACGCTCACTATCTCCAGAGCGGTGGTGCTATTAGTCGTCGCCGTGTGCAACAAGTGCAATTGAAAAGGTTTGGCGCATTCGCGGAGATTTTCAAGTGTGGATGAAGGCTTGTCTGTCTCCCCATGAAATCCATGGATGTAGCTTTGTTTTGGGATTGTATATCATTGTTTGTCTCCGACGAGGGGCGCGCTTATTCGTCAAGTGGCACGTGATTACTATACGGTCTATGGTGGCTACTGAGACCGATTGTGCATTTACTGTACACAACAAAGAGCGGTTTCGTTCGACAACAAAGCCCCGATGATTGGGAGTGTGTTTCAGTACGAAGTGTGCATTGTGCAAATTGGTTGAACGGCGTGGAAAATTCAAAGAGTTGAAAATAAGAGGCAAAATTAGTGCTAATTAGCTGGTGTTTGGTGTGGTGTGTGTATTATTTTTCCGATGGCAAGTAGAAGTGGAAATTTTGCGAGATTTCTAGATAGAATTAGTCGAAGGAGACTCTTCTCGAATCTTCAGCAGTGAATAGGTTTATCAAGTGGCGATCTTTACGGGAAGAAGAAACCGATTGATGAGCGCGGCGTGGTATTTAGCAACGACGAAGACGCCGACTACGACGACGACGACGACGACGGCAGCGACACCCGACTGAGTAGTATTTCTGGCATTTGGTTCTATATTTCTTTGCGTTCCTTTTGCCGCTGCCATTCTGTGTGCTGATGGTATCCCCGGATCGCGATATAGGAACGAACCAGTCATCCACCTCGCTGCCGCTGCCGTCGGACGTTGTGGTCGACGATGAAGCAGTATGTGCAGAAAACGTGTGGACATGATGAAAGCTGCGTGACGATTAATCCAATACGGGAACGAAAGATACCGTCAAGAAGACGAAGGAGGTCGATGATACGGTATCGGGAGGTTAGACATTTGTGCGAAAATCTCCCATACAGTGGAACTAACGTTTAGGTATCTTTAGGTCGAGATTGACTAGGGCAGCGCGTGAAGGTAATGAAAGCGAACAAGCTCTCTTTTTGACTCTCTTGTGTAGGGCTGGGATTTCGGTGTAGAGAAAAAAAAATGTGAAAATGTTTCCTTGTTTTTTAAACCCTACCTCAGGTCGAGGTTCGCACTGACAACAAGTTTGGTTTCGCATTGGGTTGTAACAGGTTCCAAAACGGATAAAAAACAAATTCGCTACGATGATTACGAAGGGAAGCCGTACATAGGCTAGCAAAGGGAGAATGGGGCACACAACATTGGTAGAGGGCATCAGATTCGCAATTACATTGGTTTAGTATGACGGGGTCTTTATACAATGTTAATACCTGTTACCCACAGGTATTTCCTCGCTTGGAGATGTTTCTTGCATCTTTGTCAGAGACTTTCTTGTCATCAACACACACTATTTCGATTAACAAGTAGCATATATCCAATAACAGGGAGCACAAAACTATTTCATTAGTGCTAGATTCCGTCATTTGTTGTCAAACGAACATTTCTAAACCTGTTCATCGATGTTTAGATGAGAGATGAAATGATGTGGATACTACCTTCACAGTATCGGCGATCATATTGAACAGCATTAAAAATAGCAATCAAGACGGCACGTGCCACCACAAAAGATCGTCGTTCACTGATGGTCGTTGTGGATGAATTGGAACTGCGTTTTTCTTTTTCAAATTATAGTGACTTCAAAATATACTCACGAACATGCTAAGTGATGGATGTTGCCAAAAAAAAAATTCCAGTCGAGTTATACAAGCTCTATTGGATCATGCAGATGAAGCCTGCAGTCTCAGTTCAGTGGGCAGAAATTAAATGTTGTGGAAATAGAGACACAAAGGTAAAACCAATAAGACTTTCGCATTGTGAGCATGAAATGTGTGTATTAAGCTTCTGCGAAGCGCGAAGTAGCTTCGCAATGCTTCAGATTGGCATCGTTTCAGAAGTTAACAAGAAGAACAAATTAATCAACCCAAACAACGAAATAAAAGTTCGTTTTTCTAGAAATCCTCTGTGCTGTTCTGAGTAAACTAATTAATATTTTCCATATAAAGTCCTTGCACAGTGATCGGCAATCGAGCTGGACAAAATTAATAACTTCTGAACGTGATGTCGTAGCGCATTTGTGTCTTAGATTAAAGTTGTTAGGGTATGCAAGGTCTATTTTGTAGAATTTTGTCTTGATTGGACATTTGGTTCAGGAGATATAATAAAAAAAGGGATAATTCACAATCAAACTGTATTATCCACGTACATTTCTCGGAGATGGCTAAGATTGTATGACAAACGGTCGAATGACAAAAGATCGAAAGGACAAAAGGTCGAATGATGAAAAGAGGGACAAATTGTCAAATTATGATAAGAGGGACAAAAAGTCGAATGATGAGAAGGAGAGCAAAACCTCGCGAATGTACAAAACGTCGAATGATGAGAAGAGGGACACTGTCCGGTGCAGCCTCAGTTCATTACCCAAGTCCAACACTGGGTTTTAAGATCCCGTTATAATTATTTTTCCTTCTTTTAATCTCTATGCTTGTTCTTTCTTATAACCTCTGGTTGAATCCTTCGGAACAGTATTCGCATTGGACGGACTTTATTATGTTTGTTTTACAAGCTGATGTTGAATCAACAGGTTTACAAGTTACCACAATCTTTTGTTATTTACTTTAAATATTGTATGCGGACATGTAAAAGTTGCACCAATTTCCGGTTTGGCATTGATACTTAACATAACTTTATGTCAAAGTTAACCTAACTGATGTTGAGAATATTCAACATACTTCATACGCGAAGATTGCGATTGTCAGAGTTGGTTGAAAATGCTATCTAACAAGAAGTTTTAGTGTGATAATTTATTAGCTAGAGAATGGTCTTAGGTAGATAGTTCCGTTAGAGTACGGCAGTATGAAAATTGAATAGAAGTTGACTATCGACTGGAAGTGCTTTCGGCAACGTGGGGCTTTAGGTAGTGATAAAACGTCGTTAGAACTATTCCACAGCAGCAGACAGTATTTGAGCAAGTCAAACGCGCACTTTCTTGCCTATAGATTTGAAGACATACTTCAAATCTCCTCGTACATCGTACGAGTTAGGCAAAGAAGTGTGCCTTTGACTTGTACTGTCGCATTAATGGCCCTTCGCTCATTTTCAACTTCTTTTCAATTTGCATACTACTGTACTCTAACAGAACTTTCTTCCTACCCTCTTCTAACCTTAGCAGCACACATGTCACTGAACAATTGTGGCTACTTGTGTGCCACTTATTCCAGTCACAATAAAGTTGCAGCAGCTTATTTCGATCGAAGTGTGCTGCTTGGGAAGACTATTATCAACAATCAATACGAAACTAACGATTTTAAATTGGCTCACTACTTGACTAGCCTATTGGCCCCAAGCAAACGATAAACGTACCCCATTCTAGTTGACATTCTACTACTACACAATGTTTGTTTTGATTCGCTATGAAAGTTTGACAGATAAAATGAGGGGTTAGTGGATTTTTCTATGCTTCGAGGGGTGAATCGATTAGCTTGGGACCGAAGAGAGTACCAGAGCTGAGCCAAAAAGTTGAGCACGTTATTTCGGGACCTTCTTGTCTTAGAGTTACCTCTATGCTATTATATAGCTAATAAATGATTACACTAAAGGTTCATGTTAGATAGCATTTAACATGTAACTTGTAACAAATATTTAAGTTTCAGAACAATGGAACCATTTCAAACATTATTCAATATTAATTATGTATCTCCATTGTTTATCTACCAATATTATTTGCGATTATCGGGGCTTCTTATGCCTTCGTCATATTCTGTTGTGAATTTATTTAATTAAATTGAACTAACGTTTTAACTGATTTTTATGCAGGGTGTTTGAACTCTTTTTCGACGTAGGACTACGTCTGTGATTTATATATTGGGGCACACTTTGTGAAAACCGTTAATAACTCAGCTGCCCCTGGACCAATTTCAATAATTTTATGACCAATCGACTGTCTGTTAATCTTAAAACTTATCATTTTTCAAAATGTCACTATTGAAAAATGAACGATTGTGCAACTGTTGCTATGATAGTTAAAATTATCACCGATTTCCTGCGAAAAGCGATTTCCCTAACACAGATTTCAAAGTTGAATTCCATCCGGTCTCACCAAACGGTGTTTATTCAATCACCGCGTGGTGAGTGGTGGTGTTCTCCAATACACAACGAAAGGCTCTCCGCAAGCAGCGAGCTGCAGCCCACATGAGCATCCATAGAAGGACGAAGAAGCCACACCGCTATTGATCGGAATCAGTAGCTCTTCATGAGCCGCTGTGGACCATCTATGTCAAGCGCATCATACTAAAGAATATAAACAGAGAGAACCTCCTCTCAAATTCCTATTCCTACACAAAACACAAGCTCCTGCTACAGTTAACAAATAAGATTTATTATATAAGACCACGTAGTCCTACGTCACCATTGTGTACAACCCCATAGGACTGTCCCTTGTAGTTTTTTATTTGTTTTTTTTTTGAGAGATCGCGGATTTCGCGGATCAAATTTTGAAAATCTTGTAACAGCCCTGCAATTACCTTAGCTAAAATATTCAATAGAGTCTGATGCATCAAATCACCAAGGGACTCCCAATTAAGAATAATAGAATGCCAATAAAACATGAATCAGGGGACAGTTGCAATCATTCGGGATCTGATCCAGATTCTTCGGAAGTAATTCTGGACTTATGGTCCCGGCTAAAATTTGCATAGATTGTGCTTCCATATATTAAGGTCTCTTTAAACAAACCACCTTGAAGAGGCATATATTGTGGCACCTCAAATTAATGTAGCAAAGTTAAGTGAATATTCCAATTCCAATCAAACATGATCCTGAGAACACTTGCATCGTTCGGGATCTGATACAAAGTTTTCCGGAAGTAATTTTGAACTTATGGTCCTTTTTCATTTTCATTTTGCAGCGTTTGGTGGGGCAATGGGAGCGCAAGTCAACCCAAAGCCGAGGATAAAGGAAGGGTAATGGCTGAATAGTCTATGCGGACCAATTGAACGCCATGGGAAAAGGAAGGGATTG